ATAGTATTTTTACGGAGAATGTACGTTATGTAAAATCACCAACTTTTCAATAAAGTCTTTTACAATTTCTGCAACATTTACATTTCCTCTGTAGAACCACTTGTGCAAGTGTTATGTTTTGCCTTTACCTTTCCTGCATCCTTTACTCCAATTCCTTCTTCCCTTTAAACTTTTTTACCTTTTTCGATCAGCCTTTTACAAATCTTTTACAGCGTTTCTTTAAGTTTATGCACTTTAAAATACCCATTCAAAGTCTTTTTCATTACAAGCACATTTACCAATTCGTTATCACAAGTACTTTAAATTTAATTCTAAACATTGAATACTTTAGCACATGTCCTAGGATCAATCTGATCGATCCTGTGAGTCACCAAAGTTAAAATTGGAAGATCAGTGGTTGTTTTCCGATTTTCAAGGGAAACACACTTTACACCCTATTTTATAAAAAACTGGTGTAAATGTGTAAATAATTGCATTTCAATCAAACGAATTTACACCCAATTTGATAAAAATCAGATGTAAAATGAGCAGCGTGGTTTGCAAATTTACACTTTATTTACTTTAAATAGGGTGTAAAAACGCAGTGTATTACACCCATTTTTTTTCTATTGATGTTGGAATGTTTATACTCGATTTTACCATTGATGTTGGCATTTTACACCTGATTTTACCATTAATGTTGACATTTTACACTCGATTTTACCATTGATGTTGATATTTTTATACCCTATTTTCTTTAAATAGAATGTTTGTTTCAATTTCATAATTATATTATATTTAATTAGGTTTAGAACTTATTTCATTTAATCAAATACTTTGTATACCACTAAACATTCAATAAACAAAAAGTACAACCGAAACAACCATCCTAACATCATTGTATATATAAGTCTTATCAAATCATATTATATAATAGCATAAAACAACCATCCTAACATCATTGTATATATAAGTCTTATCAAATTATATTATCTAATAGCATAAAGTCGTACATCAAAATCATATTAACAAAAACTATCTATATATAATATTTCCTCCTTCGTTTTAATTTTGGCAATATTTGTATGTCTTCTTGGTCCTCATACTCTTCAGCCATTTGCATTTACTCTTCAGCCTTTTGGTCTTCAATCATTTCCAAAAAACATTTAGGCCAGAGTTGTTGCACGTGGTCAATTGCCTCTTTTTCATATGACAAAGTGTTTGTGAATATCTACATGTTTACATAATAAGTTAAACAAATACATATTAAAATAAGAATTTACATGTTTTTCATTAAGTACATGCATTACAAAAATATTTTAATTTATCCTACCTCGTTGAATCTTTCAACAATAGAAGCATCAACAATGTCAAACATATTCTTCATGACGCAGTATCCACATGCCCATCCATTATCTTGACGATGTGCCTACATACAAAATCTTAGTTACAATAAAGACAAAAAAAAAGTATGATAGTGTTAGATCTCAATTGTAGTATATATTTGATCTCTATTAGTAGTATTATTACTTGCTTTTATCTATTAGTGTGTGAATTAGTAGATTGATTTGCTTAGTTTCATTTTGTTTTGGTCCAAGTGACTGGTGCTTGTAATGTTGCTGTTAGTGTGCAGGATTGACACTAGTTGGAGTGTTGGAGCACCTTGGAAAAGATGAGACAAAGCTGTTGGAAGAAGCTGGATATCAGAACATTCGCCTGGCGAAGCTCAGCGAGTGCCAGCGAATGTTCGCCTGGCGAGTGCTGGCGAGCCAGGGCGAGTAATTCAAATTAAACTCCCATACCAAAAGGGCATGAAGTTCTCCTGGCGAATGGCTCCAGCGAAGCTTCACTACCATTCGCCTGGCGACAGAGCTGGCGAAGGATCCTTGGATATTCTAGTAGCAAACCAAAGCTTTCTCAAATTGTAAACCAAAGCTTTTACCGCAATTTCTTACTTTTTATGCAAGCTACCGTAACCAAAAACCAAAACCCCGTTGTTACTCTAAGTTAAGAACTTAACAACTGTCGAACGGCGGTAATATCACATAATCCCTGAGGACGATAACAAATCTTGATACTCTATTCCTGTTCTAACAGATAGCTGTCAGAAAATAAGAATATTATCATTATAAGTGAGGTGATCTAAATAAGATACAGCTCTTTAATATGGTCGACCATTTCACTTCATGCTATATAAAAAGTAGTAACTAACACCAAGGAACTTGCATGGAAGAAGTTCTGAAGGTGATCTAAATCAGATGACAACAAATGGAAAAGATTACTATTAATTTTATTACAGAACAATCACAATATTAAACCGCGTACTGCTCTAATTGCTATATACACTCTTCACTAGTTTTACCTTTTATCTCTATACTTTCTTAATTAATTAAATAGGATAAAGTTTGTTAGTTGAACTCTCATTTGAGCTTTTGACAGCTAAATTTCTTAATACCATTCAATTCAATAAAACTACTTATAGAGTATTATACCACAAACTGACCTTCCTATCCTTTTCCTCTCTTAGCAACTTGATTCAAATCACACGTTCATCATTTACTACCACTACTATATATATATATATATATATATATATATATATATATATATATATATATATATATATATATATATATATATATATATATATATATATATATATATATATATATATATATATATATATATATATATATATATATATATATATATATATATATATATATATATATATATATATATATATATATATATATATATATATATATATATATATATATATATATATATATATATATATATATATATATATATATATATATATATACACACACACACACACACACACACACACACATACCAACTCTTCAATCTTTATCACATATCCAACATTACCAATTACTAATTTATTTATTCACAACATCATTCATGGCTTGCAACAAATTACCATTGCTTCTTATTCCTCTCCTTTTCATTAATGTTGCTGCTAACTTCAACCAAGATTTTCAAATTACACAGGGTGATAGCCGTACCAAAATACTCAACAACGCTAATCTTCTTACTCTCTCCCTTGACAAAGCCTCCGGCTCCAACTTTCAATCCAAAAATGAAAGCCTACCCAATGTAACAGCTGCTGCTATAGAGAATGATATTAAAGAATTATTTTTCATTCTCATGTAACGTTCGGTATGTTGAGAGGCAAAGGTCAGAGCCCTCTAAATGTATTCGTCACTTTTATTTTCATTTTTATGAATGTTATTCTTCTCAATCACTTTGATGGCATTTTTGCGGGGATACTGAGAACACTAGAACTGCATATGTTACCTCTAAGAATACACAGGGTGCAGACACAACAGTTCTCTTGATGATATAGTTTTGTATTAAGAATCTTTAACCATTGCTAAATAGAAGAGATTAAAGAGAGAAATAATTTTAAACATTTATGCTTTCTTTTGGACAATCACATCAGTGCTCTTAATTTTAACCATTGTATTAAGAATCTTCTACTATGCTCATAACTATGGTTAAATCAAAATTCATTTCTCTATTCTATATTAATGCTACCGCAGTTATCTACAGTTTGTAGGCCCAACCTCTGTTGGACAGTCCGCCCCGAGCGAGTCTAGTAGGCAAGCAACACCGACAAATACACCATAACAAATTATTGAACTTATGAGGCATCTGGAGACGCCAAATAAGGTCTCATCCTACAGTGAGATATTTGTGCCCAAGCCTATATACATCTATTACCTATTCAAACTATGAATTTAACATCTAAATTCAGCAGAAATATGGGTAGTACATAATATTAACCATTAACCCTTAAATATGTGTGGTACAAAACATTAACCATTAAATATGCAACTACGACAATACACATTGCAGCAGAAATATGGGTAGTACAACTATGGTATACAAATATGGGTAGTACAAAACAACTTACTTACCTTGACAATCTTCTAATTATGCTTATTATTCTTAATACCTCTTAATAGATGATATCTTTCTACAGCTCTGATAAAATAAATTGTAGCTGAAGTAAGTTATAAAATTAAAGTTAAAAGGTACAAAAATTAAGTATAAATGATATCTCTTAATTTAGGCTTCTTACCCCTTAAGTATGATCTTAATGTTTTTATTGGAAGGTTTGTTTAATGAAAAAAACCAAAAGATATCATTATCTTTAGGACAAATTACAAACAATGCCAATGATTCTTGTAGTTTCAAAACAAAAGTGTTAGAATCACTAAAATTCAAATATTAAAAAATAACATAAAAAAATTCTATAAAACTTTTAAGGAAACATGTACTTACCTATTTAACAATGGCCCTAAGTAACACTTTTTTGATTGACCATCCAACTTATTTTGTATGTATGATTGGATTACTTCGGTCGGTCTAGTAGAAATTAGCGTCCTATGTGGATCAAGAAAACCAAATAGTTTGCTGACATTCTTGGAGATGCGATGTAGATATCTGAAATGTTGAAACAAATGTTAATCATAAATGATGAATAGAAAACATAATTAAAAATAGAATAAGATACTTACGAGCACCATACAAATAAGATGGATGTGGAGAATCATTTAATACCGACAATTAATTCATTCAAGTCGACCCTATCAATAAAAACAGAAAATTCACTTGTTTCATGAATCACATCTAGTGAGAAGGAATCTTCCTTGAGATCTTCATCTTTTTTAAGTAATCTTCAGAAGCACCTGTGTTTTTGATAACATCTACAGTAATCAAAACCTTAGAGCAACTTCCGCTTGTGCTCGTATCCAGAGATTGCACATTCTGTAATATAGTAAACATTAATTAAATTATAAAATTTGTAAATTTTTAATCGATGAATTAAATCAAATTACCCATACCTCTTTTAAAAACACCTCTTTAGTCCTCTTAGAACAGAGCTTCAATTGCATCTCTTGTAGGAATTTAGCTCTCTCTTCTTGCATCTCTTTTTTCATTTGTTGTTGGAGCTATATTCTTTGTTGTTGGAGTTCTTTTTGTAATTTTTATTGGAAATCTGCATTAAGTTTTTTCTCCAAGGCTAAAAGGTCATCTTGAGAGACACCTCCTGAGGTGGGACGTGAATTTTTTCCAAAAAATTTCTTAAAGTCCACACCCCTTGGAGCAGTGCGGATCCGACCAGGGCGTTCTTTTGTTCCAAGGGCAATAGTCAATACATCCTCACGTCCTTCAAAAACAATATCATCTTGTGTACTTTTTTCCACTAAGTCACCCTGAAATGTTAAAATACATATATACACATGATATAAAATGATTAATAAGTTATAAATGAAATTCAATTTTATAAATAATTTTTTATTATTTATAATCATAGAAGCTACTAAGTTTAATGATTACTAAGTTATAAATGAAATTAAAATTTATAAAGAAACTTTTATTACTCTAACTAACACATGGCAATCCAACATGATAAACAAAACAACAGTTCAATTCAGCTCATGGACTCAAGACCAACTTCCTACTTTCTAACACTCTAACTAACACAATAAGTTCCAAGCTAACTACGTCCTAACAACATTCCAAAATTTCTAGCAATAGATAAGAAAAAAGTATAATAGTTCGAGTATTCTAACAACATCAACATAACTAACATAACATTTATTAATGGCAAACCAATTCACAAACTAATCCAATTCAGCATCCTCTTAATCAAGTTTCTGCATACATGATTCTTTAAAATCTACCTATGTAGGCTGGTATCAATTATCATTTGGAAGTATAGGAAGATAATGTTAGCTACTCATATGGAGACAAACTGAGATCATATAAAATCTATCTTAGTTGGCAATGACGTTTAACAAAAATTTGGTGAATATATTAAGGGCTTCTAAGTTTGTTGAACAATTTGGTACCTAATCATATAAAATTCAAGTTTATAAAGAATCTTTAATTACTTACAATCATATAAGCTACTAAGTTTGTTGCCTCAGATGTAAAATCTCCAGATGGCTTCTGCCGAGCCATCAACCATGCCTCGTATCGTTTTATTTCTGAAGGATCACCTACTAAAATTTCATTACAATTGACCTCTTCAATCATTTTTTCCTCCTCTCTTCCATTATTTTTGCCCAAAGCTTTTTGTAACCACCACGAGATAAAATATTAGGATGGATATTCTTTGATGTATGCATCTTTCCTTTTAGCCTTTTCTCCTATTACAAATAAATCACATTAAATTAAATGTCAAAACCAAATCACTTTAGATGACAAAAATAAATCTATAAATTTAACTAACTTGAAAGCCTTTTTTTTAGTCTCGACAAACAAATCTCAATCTTCTTGTTTGATGAATGTATACTTTTCAAACAGCATTGTATTTCCATCCTTATCGCCTTTACCAAATATATAGACATTTGAGAGCAATATCTTAAATTGCTTCAACCGTTTCCACATATAAACAAACAAGTGCTTCCTAAATTTATCATCTGTGGGGCAAGTGAACTTATCCTACAAAACATGAGAAGTGTTAGCAATTGAAACAGTTATAGAAAATAAATTATAAAGAATTAATTAAAGTTGCATAGCGTAATATCATCCCACATCGTGTCCTTCAAGTTTTCGCTTATCTTTTTCCATTTCTTTTTATTTAAACTAACATTGCTACATGCAATGAACAAAAAATAACTCTTAAACTTTGCAGCATACTGACCAATAGGTTGAAAAGTATCCAGATCAAAATCAATGTGGTATTTCTCACCATCACGGAGTTTTGCAATGAAATGTAGCAATGTTGTTGCACCTTTAGTATTTTTTTTGGAGAAGAAGTCATGCCTTTAGTATTCCTTTTTTTGGAGAAGAAGAGCTAGATGGCTTATCTATAATGTTTGTTAAGAGAGAAACATTTACAGTCATAATAAAGAAAATATCAGTAGGAGAATGTAGTACTTTCACAAGTCATAATATATTTTTAAAAAGTCACACCTTTAGTCTTTTTTTTTGGAGAAGAAGTCACACCTTTAGTCTTCCTTTTTTTTGGAGAACAAGAGCTAGATGGTTTATATGTAATATCTGTTCAGAGAGAAAAACAATCATTCATGACAAAGTTATACTTCAAGTTCAGCCCAAATGCTTCAACCAACAAGATATATATACCTAAGGAAACACTAGAAAATTAGGAATACTATGCTAGTGTCATTTGAAAAATAAAAAGAAATTTATTTCGATAGTGGAATAGGAATAGCCTCTTCCCAAGAATTTGAATTTGGTTAAAGAACAAATTCATTCTTTTTCATTAAGTAAAAATAAATAAAGAGAAGAGAAAATATGCAAGTGTCATTTGAAAAATTAAAAGACTAACCGACCTAGTATAGAGGTGTGGCTAAAAAAGAATTACATAATAAATGATGTCATAAAAAAAATGCAAAAATTAGGGATTTTAATGGAGTGAGGGCAGAAACAGAGGATGCATCCTGCATTCTTGTCTTTGACTTTTAAAATTTCTTTTAATACTTCTAACTATCCAATCCACACCTTCTTTTTTATTATTTTATTTTACAAAGTTATTAACTAATACTTTGTAAAATGATCTAGTAATGAAAGAAGTGTTGGTTGAAAAATTGGAAGCATTGAATCATTTCTAACAGTTAAAGATCAAGATGCAGATAATGAATTCTAAAAAGCTCAAAAAACATTGATTATTGTAATTTGTTATTTTAATATAACTCAATTTTTTACATTATTAATTTCTAAATCAGATTGAAAGATTATATGTTTATTGAGTAGTTGGCGAAATAGACATTTCACATAAGTTATAATAAACTCAAGTGCATATCACCACGGTTGAACGTTTGACCCGTGGTAAAAAGTTGTACGATGAGTGTCATACCCCAAATTTTATCCCTATATTCCATCACCATTTGTATAGAATCCAACATATTTTACGTGTGTTATTCATGCATAACTAACCCTCAAATTATCAAGATATTGTCTTGCTTTGCTTTGTTTGTGAATTAGGGTTTCCATCAAGGAGATCTTTGGTTGGTTAGTCAAAGTTTTAGATAGATCATTAATATATCAAGTTCTCATGATCAAGAGTTTCCCTATATCAACAATCAAGTGCAATGTTTCATTCAATCATGATCAATAGGTTTCAAGTCATCTAGTGCACCCAAATTAGGGTTTTGACCTAATGTAGTCTCTAATTTGACTTTTGAAGCAAGGCGTGATCCAACATCTCAAAATATGTTTCAAGGATATCAAATGCATAATATTAGTCTATTAATTAATTGGATTGATTTAAGAAGCTTGATTCATAAGCAATGCAAGAATCAAGCTCATTTGATGAAAAGTCAACCACTGATCAAAGTCAAGTTTGACTTTTGACTTTTTGGTCAAACATGGGTTCCTCAAGTCAATAATGACGATAGTATGTGATTTAGACTATGATTGATCAAGAGAAATCAATAAATTTGAGGTTACTTGCAAAAAAGGCAATAATGAAGAAATTAAAATTTTTTCTAAGTTATAGAAGTTCATGATTTTTGTCCAACTTCTCAAGGCCATAACTTCCCGTCCAAGCCACCATTTTCTTTGCTCAAAATACCAAAATGGAGATCTTGATAGAAACTAAAACTTTTTTATATGGGTTGATATTCAAAAAATGCATAGATTGAGAGATATGAAGCCATGAAGTGGATGTTTCTTTGCCCTTTGAACCAAAACACTTATTTCAAAACCTGCCTTGTAAAGTAGCCAACATTGAGGCCATTTTTCACCATGATCCCAATTGATTCAAGAAAAACTCAAAATATGAAAGTTGTAGAGGATGTTTCAAGCTTTCCAAAGAGTCCAAGAACACATTTTTATCATGCTTGAGCTAGGATTTTCGAAGACATGAAATTGGTCATTCCAAGTTGAACATTAGGTTATTCTTATGGCAAGTTCATGATCAAATCCAATGCCATGCTGTATAATCTTGCTTTGTAGGTCATGTTGCTTCAAAAATATTTAGGCTTTGTTCAAAAGATCATTCCATTTAAGGCATAAAGATTGCACTTCCATTTTGATAAAGCCACTTTAATAAACAACTCAACTTCTCTTGAGCTCCACATTATTTCTTCTGCATTCAAACCTTTTGCGGCACAGAAGTAAATTCTCTGAACTTTCTAACAACTCTAGAAAGCATGGTACTATGCATAGGAACTATGTAAAATCAATGAAACTACACTTTGGATTCAAACTAAACCATTTTGCTTCAAGTCACAAATCTGCAGAACCTTTGATTCTCAACCTTTCCCTATAAATAGAGGTCAATTCCACAGTTAAAAAACAACAAAAAATACACCAAAAACATTAAGAAACATCTCTCGAACCAAAATTTGCATCAAAGCACATTACACAAAAAACTACATTTCCACAAACTTGTCCAAAACACTTCATAATCATAAAACCATCAAACCACACATACACACACACAGACACACACACACACACACACACACACACACACACACACACACACACACACACACACACACACACACACATACACACACCATATAACATATAACAAAGGTGTTCCAACCATCATCTTTATAATAAAAAACCCTCAGAATAAAAAATTCAACCTTCAACACTCATTTTGTTGACTTTTTTACACAAAGCACATCAACTCTTCATACAGTCCCTTTCCAATCCATCCAAGCATCCAAACACTTTCCTTGAGGTTCAACCAAGCTAAAGAGATCATCACTTTACTACTGGAAGCTTGAGAATAGGCATTGGACCTTGCTACAATAGGTAAGATTTTTCTCATTTTTGAAACTCATCATACACGCATCATCTTTGGTTTGTTTCTGAAGTAAAAATGTAGATTTCATTGTGTTGAACGCGACCTATAACCTATTTACAACTTATCATGCTTATATGTGTAGTTTTGGTTGACTGGAAACTTAGATTTTAGGTCTTGTGTTTTAAGATTCGTGTGCTTTATTCTTTGAGTTTTAACTTGTGCAAGTAGCATCATTGAATTCCTTGTCAAGATTTAGGCAACTTTTGTTTTTGCATCTCTAAATTTCATTTAAAAATTAGAGAGATATGGTTTGTGGAAATTTTGAAAATGGTGTTTGAAACTCTCTAGCCTGCATGCGTCGATGCATGGCTTCTTCATAGGTCGACGCACACTGAGGACATGTTGATTTGAAATTTTCTGCCATGCATGCATCGACGCATGGCTCTTGCACAGGTCGACGCGTACTAAAGTGAAAATACTTGAAACTCTCTGGCATGCATGCGTCGACGCATGGCTCTTGTACTGGTCAACGCATGTTTTTCTTTTGTGCATTTTTTTCACTTTGTCTTGCCTAGGTCGACCTCTCGCACATATTCACTTGTTACCAATTACTTTCCTCACAAACTTCACATTCTTAATCATGATTGCTTGTCTTGTACTTGTCTATGAGATGTTTCCTTATGATGTAATTATGTCTTGTGCATGCTCACAATATTCACCATGTCTAAACCATATTATTTGCTTTGATAGATATTGTTATGTTCATGTTGATATTATTGAATTCTTGATTCATATGTTGACTTGAACCTTCGTTTATCATTCATATCCATGATGATATTGTTGATGTTATTACATTTATGTCTATTCTCACATGTTGTTACATTTATTCCATGCTCACATGTTATTGATATGAACATGCTTTGATATATCATACTTGTGTTTTTACTTTGGTCTTGCTAGAACCTAATCACATGTATGCTTTGACTATGCATGATTTATGTTTATGTGTTGTTTACCTTGGTTGTTATTATTATTGTTTATTTTTGACTTTGTTAAGTATTTTCTTATATGTCGTCACATCTAACTTCATGTATTTGGTTGTTACCATGTTCATTTTAACTTTGTTATGTCTCATTACATCTCATAGTTGATATCACGTATGAAAGTCATCTTTGCCATGAGTTGTATGCCTTGATTGATGTCATGTTTGAACATCATCTTTATCATTCTTTATCCATCTTGGTTGATATCATGTTTGAATGTCATCCTTTGTCATGTTTACTTTGATGTCATGTTTGAATATCATGTT